AATTTCTCCGAGGTCTAGGTTAAAATTTACAAATTTTACATGTTTGAAATATGAATAGCAGCTAGTATTGAAAATTACAAAAAAAATATAATTTATTAATAAAAGTAAGGTAAAACAAACGCTGTAGGTATATAAAACTAGTACTATTCCAGAACAAAGCAACGAAACAACAATAAATACATATTAAGGTTTACAAATGAAAAATTGTGACGGTTTGGTCGGAATATCGTCCGATTACTCGTCGTATCTCGTATGACTCTTGTATTGACTAAAACTGAACTAGTTCTAATCTATACATCAGTGGCATGCCACGTCGTGCCGGAAATAACTATGTAAATGTCATTTACATGGGCATATTTAGAAATACAAGGTCGTACAAGGTGTACGTGGCTGTGTTCGTTTGTTTTTCGGTGAAGGCTTGCCACCTGGAAGTTGTGACGGAGCTATCTACGGCCGCTTTCCTGGCCGCGTTTGATCGATTTGTCGCTCGGCGTGGTCTACCGTCCGACATTTTTAGCGACTGCGGGACCAACTTTGTGGGCGCCGACCGACTGCTGCAAACCTTAATCAATAGCCCGGAAGGACAATCCGCGATAGGTGATTCCCACCCACATTGTTCATGGCATTTTAACCCGCCCAGTGCGCCGCACTTCGGCGGATTGTGGGAGGCCGCGGTGAGGTCCACCAAAAGGTTGCTGACCCGTGTTATGGGAAACCATCATTTCTCTTACGAAGAGTTCACCACAGTGTTATGTCGAATAGAGGCGGTGCTTAATTCCCGCCCCCTCACACCGCTATCATCGGATCCAGCTGATCTTGGGTACTTGTCTCCGGGACATTTCCTCACAGGCCAACCTCTACTCGCTGTGCCGCCCAGGACGTCGATGGAGGACAAGTCCAGTCTCACGAACCGTTGAAAGTTGCTAGACCAATGTCACCAGGCATTCTGGAGACAATGGTCTACTGAATATTTAACCACACTGCAAGCCCGCACCAAGTGGTCTACAGGAGCCCCCAATGTTCGCCTGAACGATGTCGTCGTCATCAGAGACAACCAATCCCCTCCGTTGTCGTGGCGAATGGGAAGAATAATCGCACTGTTACCAGGCGCCGATGGCGTGGTGCGCGTGGTTCGTTTGCGAACTGCGCACGGCGAAGTAACTCGTCCGGTTGTCAAGCTGGTTGTCCTCCCTACCGAAGGGACCCGACCGAGTACCCCCTCTTAGGTGATACCTCCGCTCTGCTCGCGTAAATATGTGTAAATAAATTTGTAAATATGTGTTAGTTGGTTTTATGCTGCTGTTACAGCACACCACTTATTTTAGTTTAGATTGTTATGTACTTTGTTTTTCTCTCGTTGGGTGATAAGTGGTAACAGGCCAGAACTGACTCCGTGAAGCCACCGTCTTCAACTAGTTCTACCATGCATTAGCGGATGTGAGGCTGCGCCTCCCATGGGGGGGGAGTATGTTTGGGCAGCAGCACCGTTGCTCCGCTGTACCTCGCGTCGGGTGTCGAACATTCGCGAACCCCGTCCCCCTCCACCACCCGTGACCGCGCTTCCAGCCGCGGGCCACCGCCGTCAACCAGTTCTGCCCGCACATCCGTGCTTGACCGATCGTTCTGTTGTTGCTTCCGTACCCGCGCCATTTTGTGGTTGTCGTTGCGCTAGTGTTTTTGGATCCGTTTGATCTTGTTGTTGTGTTCGGGATCGGCCGTTTTGACCTCTCCGTTTGCGTCAACGCGCCAGTCCGTTACTGTGGTTGGGCAACGTCGACTCCGAGTACATCATTCTCCGTAGTGCGGGTCGGATCCACTCGACGTCCATCACCGTACGCGTGAATTAATCCGTAAATGTGCCCGTGTGTTATACCAGCCACGCTTGTAGCCTTGTTAATTGCGCTCCCCCCGTTCGTCGATCTGTAGTGATCACGTCGCCTACAGGTATCAGTAGTYAAGGATGATGKTTGGAAGGTGACTCTTGAGTTAATTACACAACGTAGAATTCTTCTTAATTAGATTAATTGTTTATTTATTGTGATAAAACATATATTTATTTATAACATGAAAGC